GGGGGATATAATTTAAAAGTTTGAGCTAATTGCAAGTATAGAGTAATGAAGATAATTTTTTCTCTCATTTTTTTTAACTGCTTAGATGTGCCTGGCATCAGAAGGCGTGAAAATGGAAGAATCAAAGCTAATAAAGACAAAAGAATCAGATGGTGGAAGAATTAAAGAATTGGAGAGAGGAAAGGAAGAAAGAGAAATAAAAATGGAGAAAACAGATGAAGCCAGATTACATAGAGAAGTAGAGTTTGAAAAATCATTTAAGGAAAATGTAAGAGATTCTAAGGAATTAAGAAATTTTGAGGAGCTGCAAATGGATGATATAATGGCTATAAAAATGGAAGATCCCAAAGAAATTAAAAGGGAAGAATTAGAAGAAGATCAAAAGTGTAGTCATTTTCCTGATTTTTCTTACTCTGCCAGTAGCAAGATAATAATAAGTGATGTTCCCAATAGGAAGGATCATATGTGCCATCCTCATGGGATTATGATCATCGAGGATCCCACAGCATTAAACAAACCAGAAAAGCTAAAAAAGAAAAAGAAGAAAAGTAAAATGGATCGACATGGAAATGATAAATCCACACCCAAGAAGACTTGCAAAAAGAGGCAGTCCTCTGAGTCTGACATCGAGAGTGTCATATACACTATTGAAGCAGTTGCAAAGGGAGACTGGGGCATTGAGAAACTTGGAGAAACTCCTCGCAAGAAGGTCCGCACATCCTCAAGTGGCAAGGGAAGCATTTTGGATGCCAAGCCACCAAAGAAAAAAGTGAAGTCAAGAGAGAAGAAAATGTCAAAGGAGAAATCTTCAGACACCACCAAAGAGTCAAGGCCTCCAGATTTCATTACTATTCCTGCCAGCAAGAACATTTCTGGTGAGGTGCCAGAGGGTATAAAAGCAGAACCATTGACCCCCACGGAGGAGGCATTACCACCCAGCCTGTCAAGACAGGCCAAACCTGAGGACAGTGACTGTCACAGAAAAATAGAGACTTGTGGTTCCCGGAAATCCGAGAGGTCTTGCAAAGGTGCTCTTTATAAAACCCTGGTGTCTGAGGGCATGCTCACCTCTCTGCGAGCTAATGTTGATAGAGGTAAGTGACTCCTACAAATCTGAAAAATTACGGTAATCCGGCAAAATTCGTCCTTTAGGCTTATCTGAAAATAATTTAACATACAGTATTCAAAGAATTTATTATACAGTATTAAACCTTTTTTGAAAAATTTTTTATTTTACTGGTATTGCTGGTGTTTTTTTTTGTTTTTTTGTTTTTTGTTTTTTTTTGTCAGAAGGATCTGCGTTGCAGGTCTGGGTATTTTGTTGTGATTCTTTAAACTGCCAGAGTTCCTGAATCAAGCCAGTGTGTTGGGCAGGATCTTAACCTATAGGTTTCAGAAGGAAATGACTAAGCTAGCCATTTCCTCTGTAAGCAAAATAATAATTACAGAAAAGAGTCTTTAAAACATAAGCAGAATCCAGAAACCAAATAATGTATATACCATAGTTTATAAAGTGTTTTATATAAATTCACCTCTTTAATGTAGTCTGATCAGGGATCTCTCAACTGGAGGTGCATGAAGGCAAGCACAGAATAAAGACCCTTGGACTACCGAGTTTGAATACATCTTGGGAAAATTAGAATTGGGACAATTAGAATTAATAGTGCTCATCAGCAGAGGTTTTCTACACCTCAGGCTCTTTTTAATAGAAAAGCTAATGTTTTTTTTGTTTTTTTTTAAGATTTATTTATTTATTCATATAGAGCTGGGGTATAGGCCAGAGATGCGGAGGGTGAGAGGCTTCACCAGAGACAGAGTGGGGAGCAGAACAGGCAGATCTACGAAGTACACTGCTGAGGGGAGCAGCGGGTGGGTCAGGAGAGGTCTGCCACGCCATGTGATTACCTCCGGGGCAGGCGGGGATCGAACTCATATGGAAGTGGCTTTAGATTCTCAGTGCTGTGCTTTAACCCGCTGCGCCACCAGGGAGGGCCCGAAAAGCTAATGTTTTTAATCAGTCTGGAATCATTCAGTACCTGTTAAGGACAAAACAATTGATCTAAGAGGCTATAAATCACTTTTTTTATATGCCCTGTTATTAAGGGCTGTCTGAGGACTGAAATATTAATAATTATGAAGAGCATTATGCATATTATACCTCAGATTCAAGTTGAAACAAGATGATTTCTCTCCTGTCCCAATATAACTGAGTATATCCTTTCTCTTGAATTTTCTTAGGGAAACGAAGCTCAGGAAAAGGAAATTCCTCTGATCACGAAGGGTGTTGGAATGAAGAAAGCTGGGCATTTAATCAGAGTGGGACCACTGGAAGCAAGAAATTCAAGAAGACAAAGTCAAAGGAAGACTCTTTCCTTGGGTAAGTGCCTGTGAGCTCAAGCCAGCGTGGTACAGACCCCAAGGGTAGTAGAATTATCAAGAGAAACCTAGATCACTAACTCCTTATTCTTTCAAGATCTATTAAACACTTATTCTTAGCACATGAAGGAATACAAATCAAATGTACAACAAGATTCCTTATGTTAACATGGTTGTGTGAATGGCAGGGTCATTCACATTTTAGGCATAATACAAAGTATGTAGATTTTAGACTGAGTCTAAGTTTGAATTGAGGTCTATCATATGTTAATTCTGGTATGATACTATAAATCCTTCAGGTCACCAGGACACATTTTCCCACCTAAAGTTTGGTCATTTATATACTGTATGTACTTCACATATTATTTCTAAAATTACACATGTTTATAAAATAGTATGATGGCTGAAGACTTAAAGTTTCTGTCGCTAAACTGTGTTGTGTTGCTATAAAAATAGTAGATTGACTATTTATTGGTAGAATATTCTCTTTCAGAAAATTCTCTCTAGAAAGACAGAACATTGTGTATTGAAATGTGTCAAGCTATAGTGTACATCATGACAAAATAATTTAGAATTATTTTTTGATGTTATGACAACAAATTTTATTATCAATTATCTTTGTTAGTTGAGAACTAGTACTTTGTATTGATGAGGAAAAATACCTGTACTATTAGAAAATCCTTTGAGATTTCTCTTTAACCCAATTTGAAAAGAATACATGGAACAGAAATAAGTAATATTTTTTATAGACTCTGTATTTTCTCTTATGAGTGTTAAAGGTATGCAAATTTATACATTGGTTTTTCATAAATATTTGCATTTTCTGTTGGTGGTATAATGTATTTTTGCTTGGAATTTACAGTGCTTTAAAGTCTAATTAATTATAAGATTAGGTCATCACAAAAGGGGAGGATGGGAATTATTTCTTATGATGATGATGATGGTTCTTCAAGAGTATTTTGATTGCTATGATACATTGATAATTTATTTCCTTCCTAATATTTTGAAAAGCCCAAAGTAATTCAGATTAGTTTTGCTTATATTATGCATCAGCGATCCATAATATATATGATTATCAAATGATACTCAAATAGTGCTCTTTAGGTCCACACATCAAGAAAGGACTTCTTGCAGATAGTATGAAGTGCTCAGGAACAGAGAGAGTACTAAGGTTTCCCAACAGAAAGTTTTCTGATGCTTCCAACAGTGATGTTTTCACCAGTCTTTTCTTGAGGAATGAGAAAAGTAAAACAATCTTTTGAAAAATTTTCCCTGAGGAAATTCATATGTGGATTATTCTTGTTTATCTTTTTTTTTTTTAAGATTTATTTATTTATGCATACAGAACTGGGGACAAACCAGAGGTGCAAGGGCATTGAGAGGCTTCACCAGAGACAGAGTGGAGAGCAGAACAGGCAGATTGGCAAAGTACATTGCTGAGGAGATCAGTGGATGGGTCAGGAGAGGTCTGCTGCACCATGTCGGTCACCTCCTAGGCTAGTGATTGAACTGGCACTGATGCAGCTGTGGTTAGCTTGCAGTGCTGCGTCCACGTCCTAATCTGTCACACCACCAGGGAGGGCCCTGTTTTATCATTTCTAAAAAGAAGTGTGCATATATGGGGTTTTTCTCCAGACTTCAAAACAATAACCCTCTAATCTTCCTCTTTCACTCCTTTGAATATCGATCTGTCAGACTATCATGTTTGCCTCCTTTTGGACATGGTGACACAGTGCGTGGGCAGTGACAGTTGCCAGTTCTATCAGTCTTCTCTGTGATGACTAAAAGTGCATTTTAAATCCTTTAAATGCACAAAGTGCACTACCTGTTTAGCTTAACTATAATCAAGAAAAATTCAGTGTTATCAATTGTAATTTTATACACTTGTCCAAGAAAACAAAGGTGATAATTCCAGTTGAAGAAAGAAAAGGGAAAAAATGTCTTAAAGCACCTCATGAGTTATGTCTTGTATTTTCACATTTTTGTTGGTTATTCAGATTCTGAAAAATTTGCGAGTTATAGATGGCTTTCTGATAGCATCTGATTCTCCATTCATGAGTGAGAAAAGACTACTTACTTACTAAGAGAGGTGCATCACCTCCCCCCAGGCCCCTCTGCTACTCTGGTAGAGTACAGTAGTAGCTTTTTCCTTTTGACCATTCTGCTGTCATATGGCTGTCTTGTCTATGCTGCCCAACTTCTGTGCATTCCTTCAGAACTTAAGAACAGTTTTAGGCACACCCATCTCAAGTTTTCCTCCCGTGGGTAGCAGTCTGATATGTTAGCTTCTTGAAAGTCAGGGGCTCAAGTTTGTTCTCCCTGCAAGTATGCCTTCCATTACCAGGGACAACAGTTTTTCTACAGCTTCTCCCATCTGTTTGGGTGGTATCTTACTTAATGAATTGCACGAAGTAAAAGCCAGCAGCCAGCTACAGGTCCAGCAGGCATGCTGCCATAGCTCTTTGGGGGCTATAGAGACAGTCAGAACTAGTCCAAGGATTTCCCAACTTCGCTGGTGGCATTTCTGAAGTCATTTGTGGATTGCATTAAAGTGATGTCGCCTTTGTGCTGGTGTGTTCACTGAAAACTGGCTTTGCATTTCTCATTAAGTGGTTTATCCTTACTCTGGTCAACTCTCCAAGATTTTTTTCTTTAAATTCAAAGGTTTGTTTCTGTTTTCTGTGTGTGTTTTAACTGAGTACTAGTTAATAGATCATTTCCAATAGTATCATATTAAGCTTTCCAAATACATATACTTATATATGAACTTTTAGAAGGAGAAACTATTTGGAAAAAAATATGCCTGAACTGAACTTTCTGAAAAATTCTTCTGCAAATAGAGGGAATGGCAAATTCACCACTTCAAAAGTACTATTTTACGTGTGTGTGTGTGTGTGTGTGTGTGTGTGTTTTTAAGGTAATAATGTGCCCTGTCATGTGAGTTAAGAAAATTGTGTCATTAAATGTTCTTAAACATTTCTAAGTAGATATTTTCTATCTTTGCACAGAATTTATCAACAGTTCCCTAATTCCTTGGGGACCTGTTTTGAAATGGAATATCCTAATATATCTTACATCATTTTCTGTTCAAATATTTACAGCATGTACTGATTAGCGACCCTCCTTCCCTTTTCTTTAGCTCAGCAAAGCTGGATGAAGAATTTGAAAAGAAATTCAACAGCCTCCCTCAATATAGTCCTGTTACATTTGACCGGAAATGTGTTTCTGTCCCAAGGAAAAAGAAGAAGACTGGGAACATGTCCTCAGAACCGACTAAAACCAGCAAAGGTTAGATGTGTGCTTTGTCTTTCTTTATTGTGTTCAGCTCAACCTCTTCTCCACTGGACAACTCTGTCCAGTATTTAAATGGTTAGAACTGAGGGCCCAGTGAATTGGAATTTGAGGATACTTTATCTTGGGTCCTGTCTCACTTTTCTCTCTCCTCCTGATTCTTTCCGTTTAATTCTCTACAGATAATGTCTTTTGGCATTGCAACCTATATATTTGCACTTATAGGTATAGCCTTTTTAAAAGTGATACACATGCTCTCCAGAATTCCAATTTAGGATGTTGACCTTTTGCTGAGCACAGACTGCTGAATTTAATTCTTCTGTTCTGTGTCTGCGGTGGATTGGACTTCTGCAATGAAGTGAAACTCCTTATAGTACTTCAGCAAAATATATATTTTTAAAAGATTTATTTATTTATACACACAAGAACTAGGGTACAGGCCAGAAGTGTGAGGGGTGAGAGGATTCACCAGAGACAGAGTGGGGAACATTTTAACTGAAATACACTGCTGAGAGAAGCAGCAGGTGGGACAGGGAGAGGTCTGTTGCACCATGTGGGTTGCGTCTCTGGCTGGGGATTGAACTTGTATGCAGTGGCTGTGGATAACTTAATAGTGCTGAGATGTAACCCCTTGTGCCACCAGGAAGGCTCCCAGCAAAATATATTTTTAATTGGTTTTGTTAAATTTTTAAAAATGGTTTACAGTATTCATTTTTAAGAAGGTCAGGTTTTTGCATGTAAATTTGAGGGAAAATTTAAAAGTGAAACATCACTTGCATTGGTCTCAGCACTCATGAGGACCAACACAGTAGTTCAAAGGGTGGGGTTGGGGGAATGTTAAGGAGCATGGGAGCATTTTCAGGGGCCTTAGCACCTGGGAGCATGATTGGGTTTGTGAGAGAAGGGCTGAGACTCTAAACTTCCTAACCTATTCAGGACCTTCAAGCACAATGAAGAATTGTCCTGCTCAAAATAACAATATTCCTCCCATGGAGAAACTTGCCTGCTGGTTTTACTTTAGATGTAAAGATTGATAGGGAAAACATACCTCTAGTTTTCTACATAGCCTGAAAGAATTTGCTTGGTTAGCTCTCCTGTAAGAGCAATGAATGGAGACATGGAATTGTATGGCCAAGCTTTTCTTTCAGGATTAAATTCTGATCAAGATTCGATGGGGGAGTTCTTGTTATTACCCTGCAAAAGTGATTGCCTGCTTTTTGTCAAATCAGATTGACACTCCTAGGTATTTTAGGTAGATATTTATATTTTTATAAATCTTGCTAAATTCTAACAATCATGGATAATGATTACAGCTAAATATTAATAAAGAATTATCGTTTCTTTAATTTTGAAAGATGAAGGTACATACCTAAACCTTTGTCCTTCTAGACCTAAACATCCTTTGTGCACTGGAATTGGCAGGACTGAGGAGCATTGCTTTGCGATCTATAGCTCAAGGTGGAGCTGAAAGGCTGAAGAAAATTCCCCTTTTGTGATTAAAGGCAGAGAAGACAGTGATTTTAGAATTAGCCCAATTTTCTATGTGGTTAGTAAAAACAAGTGTAGTAAATAAAGAACTAAAAAGAAATGTTACATCACCAGGTTTTCTGGAAAATAATACAGAGTTGTATAGTCTTCCAAGATTAGGTATGAAAAAAAAATGAAGTAGCCTTATTGGCAATTTAGGTAACTGAGCACCGCAATGGATTATCAAATGTAATGACAATCTCTGTTACTTTAGGGACAAGCAAGGTAGTTCTTGAAACCAGAGATACCAGTTATCTTGAGTTCCTGTAATTCTTGGATTTAAAGTGCTAATAAATATCTGACTAACCAATAAAATGGCACTTGATAGATGTGCAGGATGTAGTCTCTCACCCTCACATCCTGTAATTCTTGACATTTACTTGAGCACTCTGAAGTTGGTCTATCAAGGAATGTAACAATAGACTTAGTTTCTGTACAGTTATAAACCCTAAAGTTAGGATCTATTTTCTTGAAACCTTCTTTTGAGCGTTAGATGTCTGTTATTTTTCCTTTCCCATCAAAGATTAATAATATTTCCTTTGAAGAGAAATAGCTTTGGATTCTCTTTCATACAGTATCATCGTAACTCTCCCTTCTACCTCTGAAGTGATTGGGTTTTTTTTTTAGGGTATTTTTATTTTTGTGTAGAAGAACTGGGGTGTAGGCCAGAATTTTATGCGGAAGGTGAGGGGAATCATCAGAGACAGTGTGGGGAGCAGAATAGGCAGATTTACTGAAACATACTGCTAAGGAGGGCAATGGATGAGGCAGGAGAGGTCTGCTGCACCATGTGGATCAGCTCCCTGGCTGGGGATTGAACTCAGGCCATAGTGTTGATAGTGTTGAGAATTAACCCCTAGGCCACCAGGGAGGCCTTGGTTCATCTATAATATATCAGTAATAATGTCGGTGGGAAGCCTTCTTGACTTATTTTTGCTCTGCTTTCTGACTCATGGAGCAAAGTGCAATTAAATAAAACAAATTAAATAATATATTCTCTATTTAGCAAACTAAAGAAATAGTATTTGTGGCTGATTGTAATTTGGCATCAGCACCAATGTACTATCCTACAAATTATTAATGAAATTATCATACCAGCTGTGCCATAATTGCCTGGTCTTTAGAGGATCGAGGAGATTGTTTTCTTAGACTCTAGACCCTTTGCACCTTTGCATAATGAATTGTTCAAAGCAAACACTGTGTATGAGATCATTACTTCATTAGTAAAAGAGCATTTGTCCATGGAAAAAGCTCATTTTCCTCTACTAATTTGTTATTTATCTATATTTTATTTTCTCCCATAGTTACTCAATTAATTACATTATATTTTTTCTAGATTTGAGCTAGTCACTTTCCTTTAGCTACTCTGTATCATATAAAATGTATGTAGAAATTTTTCTGAAATAGGATGTGTGAGAAATGACTATGAGTGCACTTACACACTTAGATACATAAAATTCGTAGTACTTGCTTGGGTTTATGCTTCCTTTTTACCAGTGGTCCCCTCGTTCATAATGGATGTTGAAGTGGTCTCCTCCCCTTTCACATGTCCTTAGTGTCTGCCCTGTCTGTTGTGTGTTGTGTTTATGTAACAGTTCTCTGGTGAAACTCTATAGTGAAAGTGCCACCTGCTTCTAGTTGTGCTCAGGTAGAGCCTGATGATGTCAGAATTTCCCTTTACTTCTAGAGCAAATTATCTAGAAAATTGTAATCTAACAAACAGTGCAGCTCAGTTTAAGCAGCCATTCCCACAGTGTGTTCATCTCTCAAAACTACTTGTTTTTATTCAAATGGAAGCTTCACAATTTAAGCCCACATTTAATGTAACTTGTAGGTTTGTTTTGACATGACTTTAAGTACACTGTTTGTGTATGAAGCATTTTTTATGAAAGTATCAGGAATCAGAGTGCTCTGCAAAATAGTAATTTTCAAACAAAGTAGGGTCACAGAGAAAAAATTAATTGGATTCAATTTAGAGTGTTTAAATTATGCCCTCGCTAGACCCTTCACTTCATTTCTCCTCCTCCCTTCTTCCATCTTCTAACATTGTTCCCTAGCCTATAATTGAATATTCTGTTGATCTCTACCATTTTGTTACAGTACACTTATATTTTAAGATTGAAATTTCAGTGGTTACCGATTGGAGTTTTAAAAAGGAAAATCACAGTGGTATGAAAAAAAAACAGGTTCACAAAATGTAAGGTTGGGACAGATTGTCTTGTTTGGGATCAAGAGAATCTGACCAAATGATGAATAGAGACTGTGCTGTAATGACGGCCAGGCCAGCCTTCCCATCCAGGAAGCTACAGCTTCTGGGTTGGCAGAACTCTGTAGTTTGCCCTGTAATTGTTTGAGAGTCTTCATTGCCACCAAACCTTTTCAGGAACTTGGTGGGAGCACATTTACAGAAGTAAAGGTATATCTGATAGAATCCTCGGCTCCTTAACAAGGCACGCATGTACAGCCCAATGGGGTGGCTCCTTCCGCTCAGAGAGTCCTAAATTGATTGTAGTTGATTACTTGAACTTAATCAAGTAACAAATCCATGCTGAGCAGCTTTGAGCATTTTCCTGTAAATTATTGCCATGGAATGGATTGTTTCACTGGTTATTCATTACTTTTGTGTCCATTACAGAAAGGGCAGCCTAGTCCAAGATTAAAATCTTGTTTCTCGGTGCTATCACCACTGTGGCCTACGTCTGAGCCCCAGCCAGGGAGCTAACCCACGTAGTGCAGCAGACCTCTGCTGTCTAACCTGCAGTGTATTTCAGTAGATCTGCATGTTCTGCTCCTCACTATGTCTCTGGAGAATACTCTCACCTTCTCACACCTCACACCCTGTAACTCTGGCCTATGCCCCAGTGCTTATATGCATTTAAAAAAAAAATAAAAGTGTAGGAAAAAAGAATCCCCTGTCCTTTATAAAGCTCAAAAATGTGGAAGTGTAGCACCTGGGCATAATTTGAATCAAGTATTTATTTTCTACAGTAGCACTAAAAGAAACCCATGGATCACTTAATTCACTTTATCTGCCTACCTTGAAAAATTATCAAACCAGGCTTTTTTGTCACTATGGCTTCTAACCTCTCAAATGTCCAGTATTCAACAAACTGACCAGTGTTAATGTTTTAGCTGTTAATGTCTTGATGACATCACTCTTACTCTCTCAGATTGTGGTTTGTCTCTATTTTCTATGTAGCTATGAGATTGGGGTGCAGAGAAGATTGATAAATCTTAAAATACACCTAAAAACTTAAGTGGAGTCACAATACATGTCAGAAACATGTATCAAGTAGATGAAAGACCCTAAAGAACTTGGTAGCAAGAAGGAGAGAGATGGGCTGGAAACTTGAGGTGGTAGTTCAGTGAAAGCAGTTGGCAACTCTTTGTTTTCTGAATGATTTTTTCTAAAACTTCTTTCCTCTGCTTTTAACTTCCTACTTTCTTTTTCCTTCATGGACATTTCTACA